CAAATTAGTAAACAAATTCTATAATGTGTTTTAAGTTTTGTACGTTTCGTTAATACATACCCTTCTACTTCCGCTGCGAGTTCTTTTTGAACGTGACTCCTCCTTGCGTATCTGCGATTTCTGCGACGGCACGTTTACGATCTGATTCGCCTCCTGCTTGTTGCTAGATTGCTGAGTCTGTTGACTCGGCGATTTATTGCGTCTGCCCGTTATGCCCGCCGTGAGCGCTTGCTGCTTCGCGATTATCTTGTCGTCAGTCGACTCGATCGGAGCGGATTGCATAAGATTAACATCCTTCTCCGAGGTTGGCGTCGGTGGGTTCTGCCGCCCGGCGTTTTGCTGCTGATGCTTCTCGTCCGCGTTACGTTCCGACGAGAATGGACTTTTGCTGGACGGTGGACCATATCCTTCCATACGACTACCCGTTGTCGTGTTTCGAATGCGGAAACCGCCTCTACCGCGACGAGACGGCTCACCCGAGGGTGCGAAAGCCTCGTGACTGGGCTTTCCGTCATAGGCTCTCTTCTCGCTGCGCGACTGGGAGTAGTCACCACCTCGTTTTTCGTCGCGTCTCGACAGATCACGATTGCGATCCTCCTTCTCGAGCTTCTGCGACGGTTTCGGCGAACGCGCCGAGCGTTTGTCCTCCTTACCGGATTCGGTGGAGCCGGACACCTCGTCGGCGCTATTCTCGGAGTCGGAATGGCCGTAAGAACCGCTCTTGCTGGACATGCCGGACTTCCCGGAAGGTCGCGGACCGCTTCTCCGTCCCCTTGGTTCCGGTCCGCGCCAACCGCGAGCGTACACGCTGAAAGCTCCCCATTGACGTCCGCCACGGGAGTCCCGTACTCTAGAACTAGAACTGCCGCTGCTCGTTCTGTTGCGTGTATTCTTCTCGCGCTTTTCGTCCTTCAGCTGATCCTTGGCATCCTCGACCACAGTTTCTTCTCTCTTTTCTAACGGCGGTTTGTCCAACGAGCTCTGCTTCATTATTTCGTCGTTTTCCTTGCCGTCTTTAGCGGCTTCCGCTAGTTTCTCCTCCTCTTTCTCGAAAGTCGGCGATATTGCATCTGCCCATGCCTTCGGCGAGTTGTCACCGCGTTCGATCGGTCTACTCTCCAAATTACGCTCAGTTTTCCTGATCCATGCATCCGTTTCTTTCTTCGTCTCAGTGGAACTCTCCTTCGGCTGGTCTTTCTTCTCCTGATCGGAACTGCCTCTCTTCAATTGAGTGAGATTGCGCTTCTCACTCTTCAGTTCGTCTGCTTCAATTTTTTCCTTAGTAACTGGACCAGGAGGTTGTCTTCTATCTCTGTCTCGTTCCCTCTCTCTCTCCCTAGCTTCCTCGTGGTACAAGTCCCGTTTTTTTTCCTCATAATCAGATACCTCACTGACCCAAGAATTACAGTCACGCAATTTGTGCAGCTCGTCGTCGCGCAAAGACGTTTTCGATTCTCTGGAAGTACGACTGTCACGCGAGTCCGGTCGTTGCGGACGTTCACTGCGTTCCTCTTTCGGTACGTCACGACGACCGATTTCGAGTTGACGCTCTTGCCCCAAATTACGTTCTTCACGCCACTCTGAGCTCTCAGGGCGCTCTCTTTGTTCACGCTCTCGTTCATCGAAAGAGTCCTATAAAAAAATCAAAGATTTTTTTCAAAACTAGATGCAAGTACAATCAAGATGAATCAGGAGATAAAAATATTAGCGATCAAATATATCAGATTTCACATAGAAAAAAGGCTTATCGCGAAAGTTTTCATTACCTTTGAGTAATTGTCGTAATCTTTCTTTTCTTTGTTGTCCCGATCGCGCATATCTCTCACGTCCCGAGCATCACGGCTGGTAGGACGAGAGTCTTTGACGTCGCGAGCATCTCGGTTGTCCCGATTGTCTCTTGAGTCCAGATTCTCCTTAGAATCGCGTTCCTTATCGTCGAAGTGTCTTTCACGTTCCCAGGAATCACGAGGATGTCTGTCATCATATTCATAATCGCGGAAATTACGGCTGTACTCGTCGTAATAGCCACCCGGCTTGCGACTATCGTACGATCGATGCGAAGAATGTCGATAACGGTCTTCCCTCGTTAGTGGCGCACTACCGCGATGATCGCGAGACGGAGGCCGCTCGTCGTCCATCGGTACGGACGCGTCTGAATCGGTTCTGCTGCGACGTTGCGGCGGCATGGATGACTTCATACCATTATCTACTGATACAAATTTCATTGAATATAATGCAGGAATTTTTCAACGTATCATTAATTTAGAGAAAAGAGTATCAATTAAATATGTCTAATTAAATACAATCTACTTGATGCGCGAGTGATTAAAAAAATAATGTCGTATGACATTTCTGATTAAAGTAACATTACAAAAATGTATAATTAAGATTGAAATTGACTAAATTAGCTTTGCAATGATTGTACTTCGAATAAGGAGATGTAAAAAATTGGCATATATAATTGAAATCGGAATTGCACGTAAAAACTTACTCAAGGAGTTGTAGTTATGAAGCCATCTGCCAGGATCGTACTGTTGGGAAAATGGAACGGATTGAGAAGCAGATCTTTCGGCGCTAGGTGAAATGCGATTAAAATTCGCATTGCTCCTTTCCGCTTGCTGCTTCTGAAATCTGGGTGGCAAGTTATTCTGAAAGTGCCGAGAGAACGCCGGCTGTTCGCGATCTCTCGAGTCTCTCTGATCACGATCGCGATCGCGTTCTCTTTCGCGCTCACTGCGCACAGCATCCTGTTGTCGCAGGAAGTTCTGTCGATCGTTCTGCCGAAAGTCCGTCAGCCCTTGATCTCTACTGTCGCGCAGATTGTCGCGTGAATCGCGTCCAACGGACTTTTCGTCCTTGCCTTCGGACGAGGTGCGAGACCGCTCGCGATCGCGTTCTCTGTTCTCGCGCTCCCTATTCTCCTTCTCTCGTTCCCACTCAGGTATAGGAAGAGGCACAGGAGGGACGGTAATCAAGCTCTTGGACTCGCCGGACTGCGCGCGTTCCTCGTCCTTGTGCTTCGCCTGTTTCTCTTTCAACTTTTGTTCCAAATCCTGCAATTTCTTAGCTGCCGCCTGTTTAGTAGATTCCTGGAAACGTTTCTCTTCTTCTTCCTTGCGTTGTCGTGCACGTTCGACAACGGATGCGACTTCAACCTTGAGTCTACGTCTTTCGTTCCACGCTTCGTCATCTTCAACACCTAGATTAGCAATGTTGCAACATATTAGATACAAGCATTGTACGATATCATTAAATATAGTACACTGCTCTTCATCATTTTATAAAAGTGTATATACCAACCTCGCAAAGAGTGCAATTGCGACTGAGCAGCGTAACCACCACCACCACCACTCGCGCCATTGGATCCACGGTAATCGCGAGTCATGGAAGATTGAGTCCAAGGACGATGTGGAGGATCACGAAGCTCCTTCGACTCACGATTGTCTCTGAGCTTCTCCTTCTCCTCGGCGGCATTGTCGTCGCTCTTTTTCTCCTTGGGGTCTTTTTTCTCATCGGTTTTTGATGATTCTGGTTCGGTTTCATCGTCGCTAAAGGCCAATTTTTGGTTATAATCAATATCATCGTGCGCGGCCCATCCTGCGTCACGTGAAATATCATCCATACGAGTAAGATCTTCTTCCTTAATGATGGGTCTAGTTATAATCTCTTCCTCGGCCACGCGTTCGCGTTGAGGAATCGGAAGTCGATCCAGGGGGTAATTGAATCTAGGTCTGGGACTGTTGGATCCAGAATTTGATGGAAATTGTGGAGAAAATGCCCCAGGAAAACTTCCTCTATACACCTGAAAAACATCACGATAATTTATTGTATTTACTATTCATTGAAGAAACAAAATAATAAATAACAAATTCGCACGGATTCAGAATCTTATGAAGAAATATATACTTACAAATGGCGGAATAAATCCCCGATAGTGCATATTTGGCCCAATTTGATGGGCGCCGGCAGGAGGTACAGAGCCTTGATTATTTGCAGTATTATGCTGGCCTCCCTGGCCCACGACCATGTTGGGCGATTGGGCCAAGTTCTGCCGCCCTCCACCGGGCCCCTCTTGGGTATGCCCTCCTGGGCCAGGTATGTTCAAAGGGAGGCCCTGGCCCGCCTGAGTATTCCCACTTCCGGGACCAGCTGGTGTTGCTGGCGCCGCACCACTTGCCGTACGACTTCCGCCTTGAATCCAACTTCCTTCGGCTGTTCCAGACATAGGTTATTAAATATTTTCTCAATATCATAAAGCTTGATATTTTCACGATTTATTAAGTTACAGAAAACTCACTTTGTGGACGCAGGCTTGGTCCTGGGCCATATTGCGCATTTAACTCCCGATTTAACTGTTGTTGACCTGCTGGTGTGGCACCTACATAATACATTCATTGTATTATAGATAAAAATCTCTACAAACTCATAATACCTAACTTACTTCAATATCTATAACAATAGTAACATCGACTGACGGGAAAAGAATAAAAATACGAGATAGGTGATGAAACAAGATACACGCATGCTCGCACGCGTTTGTTTCATAGGCTGTGCATGAAAAACTTTCCTAAGTACGTACTAACATGCTTCTTACTGGGACAATATTCTGCACGCAGTAAAAGAAAAACTAAACAATACGAATAAAACATAGACAATAAAGTGCTTGGACAATCGTAAAATAAATTAGTCTAATCTGTTAACTTAAAACTAACGAAAATGATAAAGATAAATTGCGCGCGCATGTTGCGTGTGTATATACATATTTTAAATATTAATAACATAAGTGTCTTACTATAAGGAGAAGCAAAATAATTATTTATAACTTCGCGTATTGTGCAAAATACAATATAACGAAGAGACAATATCGTGCGTAAAATTTGCATACGCGTGAGAACTAATAATTTGTTAAGTAATAATAGATCATATGCGAGAACATTGTTGTCAAATAAAAATCTTGAAAGATTATAATATCAATCGATTCAATCATTGATAATAATATTAATGTTTATACAATTCCAATTTTTTTAATATTCGATATTTATACATATTTCCCGAAAAATGACCTAGTCGCACAGCAAAAATTATTATTATTTCTTTTCACAAGAGATAATAATAGAGGAAAAAGAAGTTAGATGAAAGACTGCTTTAGTTTTATATGAACGATATTACATAATTGAATTAGTTTATCGGCACGAAAACATTTATAACTTTTTGCAATTGAGTTTTTTTCATAGATGAAATACCATATCTTTTTTACAATAGTCTCATAAGCTCCCGTGGAGAGAAGCTAAACGATATATGAATCAAGGCTGTTTCAGGAGAAAGTTCGATCGCGTGGAGTCGTGTGCATTGACGTGGGAGTTACTGCTAACCTAGATCAACGAAATATTCTACATTTGCTACGTTTTTAATTCTAAGAATTAAATATAATTCTTAATAAGAATTAAATATAATTCGTATAATTAAATACACAATGTATTTATTACAATCGGGCTACTTATTCCTTTAACATTTATTACCATCATTAAATGCGAATGAGTCACCTTTCGTAAAACATCCCACATATAGATAATCTATAATCTTTTGTCTAGTTTTTATCAGGCGCATTATTGGCATAAGAGAATATAAACATTAAACATTCTTCTACATCTGTGCTGCAGTGTTTTTATCAGGCGCATTATTGACATAAAAGAATACAAACATTAAACATTCTTCTACATCTGTGCTGCAGTGTTTTTCATTACTAAAATAATCATATAGACATTGATCTATGCTAATTTCAATTTTTTCTAATATATTTAATCAGAATGCAATCTTTAAAGCCACCACAGGGAGAAGCACAGAGAACACTACTGGCAAAGTGAAAAAAAGATAAACTTGAATCTAGCAGCAACAGGCAAGCAACACCCCACCTGAGTGGTTGTGGGCATATGACTGTTGCTGTAGCAACGAATGGTGGACTGCGACTGAGATTGCATTGGATGTTGTTGAGGACTGTTGAGTCTGGCTCTGAGTGGAGACGGAGGCAGAGGGCTGTCCACTGAGACTGGGGAACTCGTGTTGGAACTGCGGGGACTGGTGGGCGAGGAAACTCAGTCCAAGGGCACCTCTTCCCCCTTTCGCGCCCCCCACGAGCCCCGCGTAACCAACCACTGCTGCCACAATGGGCGTACCTATCAATTAATTGCGCCACCCGAACGACCACCGCTCTGCTCACACTTTTTTACCTCATGCCCAAAGTCCAGAAATGGATGTTAAAAGGATATACGCGTCACATAAATACTAAGTATTTACTATATTATTCGCGTTTTATATCATGACGCTTCATCGTGTTCTTGGAGAATTCGTCAATCCAATACAATCCTTTATCAATCCAATTCTGAACATCTCAGTCTATTGTCACATGACCCAAGCGTGTTTACGTTTCAATGAATCCTAATATACGTAAATATTGCACACGACATCGTTATATTATATAAATCAGTTCTGCATGTATAGATTATACCATTAAGTGACTAAATCATTTTGCGTGATATTATTTGTACATTTTTTCATAAATGTATTTGAAATATTAGTATATGTTAATATTGTATATAAATAATATTGCGTATATACTACATGAATGATATACTGATTACATCAACTCTCAATTTGTTCATGATTGTAATGCTGCATATCTTGACCCGCAGGGTAAGGAGTGTCCAGGGGAGGGAAAACATACACGCGTAAAACTAATTCTTCTTTTGTTCTGTAGTTTGTAATCAATTAGATGTGATCAGAAGTCTTTAGATAGAATTTTGAAAAACTGCTTAAGACTCTTATTACTTTAAACATATGATCACTTTTGAGGATGAATTGAAAAATGAATTATCGAAATGTTACGTAAGAAAAGAAGAGATAAATATCAATTTAAAAATTTTAACTTTCTGATTCAATTAGTGTTATGCGTTGTATGTTAATAATGTTAGTCTAGAATATGTATTCTTCCACGTACCATCTCCTGATCTGCTCATAATCGCGCTCCATGACGATTTGTTGTTTGCCTGATCCAGAAATGAAGATTGTGGTGCATTTTGTTGACCCGGTAATAGCGAGTGTAGGGATGTTGAGACAGTGGTCCCTGCAGTGCATTGTGCTGTTGAGGAGACAGTCTGAGGCAGAAAAATATTAAAGATTTAGTTTGTCTCTAGAATATAATTATGGTATACAAATAACAAAATGATAAAGCTACATATATTCAACCACAGAAAATATATAAAATTATAACTTACAGTACTTACAGTAGTGTTATCAAGTGAAGTTGCTGCTACTGTGGTAGTAGTAGTGGTCGACGACACTGAATCCTTAGTAGTAGCCCAACCACTTCCACCACTTGGCACAAGACTGACAGCTGGATCACTGCTACTATGTTCACTCTTTAGACTGGGCAGATTAGCAGGAGGACGCCGTGCCGAAGGCACCTTTCCAAGACTTTGCATTCCATGTTTGCGCGGTAATGTATTTTTTTGCTGATGTGGTTCCAAAGATTCGCCCTGTGTTTAAAAGGTGGGAATGCTTAGGCAAAGTTTATCACAGACAAAAACTCTTTCTTTATTATTTACCAAAAATAATGCCATAAATATCATGTTCAATTTTAGATGTAACATTATAATTTATAAAATATTAAAGAGAAAATACATTGTTGCTTACAAATTTATATCACAAATTTTCAATGAAATTCTCCATGTTACGAATATATGGAATATATAGAAAGTTAGTGAAATCAGACATCATTTATACTTAGAAAAAATGCTTTTATCATCTTATATAATTAATAAAACTTTTAAGACAAAGAATACTATAATTAGAAGCATTTGAAAAAATTGATAAGAGAAGGTAATAAAATTGTTCAACTCACCCTACTCACCCGATACAAGCTATTGATATCTAGTGATTGAAACTTGGATTTTCCTTTCTCCCCCTTCGACACAATCCCTGACAGAGTAGACATGCTGTCTGCACGCAACCATTTAGTACCAATCAGACCCAAAGAACGAACCCTTTGTCTGAAAAGAGTGATTTTTAAACATTCAAAATATAATTATTTTGATTTGCTTTTATTCTGAAAAAAAAAAATATATAAATACAATAATCAAGTTACCATTTGAAAAAACTGTAGTGATAAAGATAAATTGATTACTTTGATGCAAAATAATTAATACACTAGTGATACATCAAGAATTGTTAAAAGGACAAACTCTTATAGTATTTATATTGCAAACAACATATATCATATTATCAGGAATTAAACAGGTACGAGAGCCAATGTTGTACTATATGACCAATAGTATTTTTAGGAACAGGCCATCTTCAATATCACTAATTGTATGAAAGCTAATGAAATAAATATGTTTACACGCTTATTCATCTAACAAAATATTCCATATCATTTCTCCACCCAAGAGAATACATAATCTAATGATAAGTTGCACCACAATATAATTTTATTAAGAAAAAGCACTGAATTCTAAATACTTTCAAGTGCTTTATGTAGTCAACTGATCACAATAATAACAATACAGCAAAGTGATGATAATTCTATTCTGATCTGTTGTGTGGTTAAACGGAAATTTAATGTAAAACCGTTAAAATATTACATTGTCAACAACGCGCATTAACAAGATAGACAACAGTCCAAGAAGCTTTGTCTGTCATGCTGTCAGAGCGACCACGACGCACAGGACAGTAATCGAGGTAAAAGTGACGGAAATAACTCGACTCATTACCTGGCTCAGTCTAACTGAGCATTAATTCCGCGTGTACGAAATCGCGTACGTCGTGTTCGCGGACCCAACCCCGCAACTGTGCGATGTCAAAAATCGCGAAGAATTCAAAACAACAACTTTGCCGTACACCTAAATACACATCGCCTGTCGGATTTCGCCAGTCGAATCAGTCCGCAAAGCGGACGAGGGTGCCCTGCGAGGAGGCTATTATAATCGCCACGATAACGGTATCCCGTCTAAGAAAGCGTTAGCGCGAGAGGCTATCGGGGGGAGGGAAAAAAGTGTCGGATCCAGCGAAGCATCCACGTAGGAAAAAGGACTCGCGCTGTAACCCAGATCGACGAAATAAGGACTTACCTTGGTCCGTCCAAATGGGTTACCACTTCACAATAGGATTAACTTCCGGTAAAACTATATAACGCACGGATCGTTGCGGATTACACTTCCGAGAATCGCACCGCGCCTACAGGACACAGAAACTTCTTTTCCACAATTCGTCCAAGATGGCGAATGCGCGACTTTCGGGCCCTTCCTCCGCGCGATCAATACAATTACGTCACGTTCACCAAGGAGACTCGTTCTCACAGACGCGCCACTCGTCGGCGGCTTTGTGCTCGGCAGCAACGCAACGCGCTATTCTTATTCGGTTTTTTGCCCGTGTGCCACTCGCATTAACGATGCGATCGTGTCCGCAATTCGATCATCAAAATAAGGACTATCCCTTGTCGCGAACGACACCGCACGTGATTTTTGGATTTCGTCACTTTTTCCAAAACTACTCGTCAGGCATGGCGGTAAAAACCGAGTGGAACACACGACACGCCGTACTGAATGATTCGACTCTACTTTGGAAATTCCTTCGCCAAGTACCGATCGAGTCATACTCACAACAACTGTTGTAATCCACGCCGAACTCGAGTGCAAAAATTTCCATCACAATGAGATTATGCATTTTGTTATTACTTACATATATATTTTTTTTTCAACATAACTGGAATAGTTTTCCCGTCCTTTCTTGCGAATCTTTAAACTTCATTGAAGGATTTATCAATCAAAAACTGATGCTATGTTTACTCATTTGGTTCCAGTAGTATTAAGCGTACCATGTGCGCACTCTTGCGGAAGGTCTGTTCATTATTTTGGAACACAGGGCAAAGACACTGAGCCGTTTTATTGGCTACATGTTATCTAAAATATCTCAAAAAGTAGCCAATGAAATGGCTATGTTTTTTTCTAGAAAATGGCGGACAGAATACAGATCAATCAGGAATCATCATGTTTTGTTCTAATTAATTTTACAATAAAGGATCAAAAGTGTAGTATAAATCAACAATGAAATATATGCCAATATTCATAGTTGGATCTTATATTTAAGACCGCCTTAAATACATTTTCAGACACTGTACGGATTGTTTCATTGGCTACGGAGTATCTGAAGATAAACTTAAGACAGTCTTAAGGATGTATCTGAGCTATATAAAAATAGTACCAATTTGATAAAACTTTGAGTAACTCTTCCTTAATTATCTATAATATACTGAAAAAAATTTCAAATCGATTCACTAAACCATTGAAAAGTAATTATTATGTTAATTTTACACATGTTCTTATGGCAAAAGCAACTTTCCTGAATGTAATGAGTAAAAACATATAGAAAAAATAGTACCAAAAAATAGTACTAAAAATTTAAGTATTTTTATACATATAGATTCTCCCGGATAAAAAAATGTGTTCATTCTGAGCTCATATTGTATTCATGTATCTTCAAGTATGAGGACAAGAATACACACCGATGCGGGCTCATATGCGCCACAGAATGTAGACATGTTATAATGTCACAAAAATACCTTATTTAATAATAATAATCAACATCATGTCAAGAATTTGCAACATAATTTGTACATCATTTGTGTGCATGCTGCTCATATCATGAGATCGCGTAATGATCTTTAAAAAAGTATCAAATTGGAGTCACAGTGGGTGCTTTCCAGTTGCGTATACTGTGTTAAGCCCGTATCAGACTACGGATTAAGATTGAGATTGAATTGAAAATTAGCCAATCAGAGCAAAATTCACTAAGCTCAAGTTTGGTGAACTTTGCTCTGATTGGCCAATTTTCAATTCAATCTCAATCTTAATCCGTAGTCTGATACGGGCTTTACACAAAACCAGTTTATTGCATATTATCTTACAAGATATTTTAGATAATATGTGACCAATAAACTGGTTTTGTGTACGTGTGTGTCAAGATGTGTTAAGCAATTAGAAACACCCATTGTTTCATCTAACCTGCCTGCACAGTACATTACTGCTACATACAAGCCATAAACTACATGATACGCTATTGCTACGTTTAACATTTTTCATTAAATATTTATAGTAACAAATAATATTGATAGTTATTGTTCAGACAATGCATATTTATCTGTTTTAACTTATCCCAATTACTTTTTCCCCTTTGCACTGATGGGTATTGATGATAAATACGAAATTTAATGTTCTAAAGTTGAATTCAAGGCATTTTCCCTGCCAAAGGTTTTATTAAAGAGAGTTGAAAAAAAGCAAATAAAAGTAATAAACTATTGAGAAAGTAAAAAATAACTTTTTAAATAATAAATATATTATGTTAGCCACTATTTATATCACTTATCACTAGGTTTACAACCGTTTGAAGCAGATAATAAAATTTTTTGTTTTTCAAGCACTTTTATCACCGATTGTATCTCATAGCGAATTCGGTAGCTTGCACTAGTGCGCACTGAGTGCGCATTAAGACTTGTTTACAGTACATTCTTATATTTAAGATCGTGTCTTAAATACATATTTAAAAACATTTTAACTAATAAAATGATTCGTACGGATGTTATACATATCATATTATGATTAAAAATATTTGAGAATTTATTTGAGAATTATTTAAGACAATCTTTAAATATAATAACATACTATGAATAAGCCTTAGTGCACACTCAGTGCACACTAGTGCAAGCAACCGAATTCGCTATCAGATACATCCTTAAATATAAAATTCGACTATAATATTGACCATAGAGGATTCATACTGCGTCCAACATCGGATGCACGACGATCGATATCCAATAATAGAGTTTCTTTGCTAAAATTTTTAGCTAGCGATATTTTTGTTTCTGGAAAACCAATTCTCCTATTGAATATCGGATGCCGGACGTAGTGTAAATCCTCCATTGTAGACTTTTTCTTAAGTAGCACGACTCAACAGCAAGTCGACCTAATCTTACTTATTTTCAAAAAATACAAATCTAAGACGATTCATTAATTTAAGCAACGTTAAGGTGTCGTGAATGCAACGTCTACCGTGAGAGTGCAAAAATGGTATTAAATATGTTAGAAACACTGTAGTTTGCTCTTATTTTTTTTAATTTAAATATTGTATTTCAGAGTGTTACGTTACACACGGATGTCGGAGACATTAAAATAGAGTTATTTTGCGAAATGTGTCCGAAAACCTGCGAGGTATTATTCAAATAATTCATATAATTATTATAATTATTTCATTAAAATTATCATTTACATGTCAGCCTATCTTTGAAATTACGACAATACATAACCTATAATAATATGATGTAAAAATGTACTAGTTGCACCAAAATTTTTATGAATTATCCGATTGCACGATTATCATCTAAGCTAATACCTTTATAATTTATAATATTATAAAAGAACATGAACTATTTCTATTTCAGAATTTTCTTGCACTCTGTGCTAGTGGATATTACAACAATTGTATGTTCCATCGAAATATAAAAGGCTTTATTGTTCAAACTGGAGATCCTACTCAAACAGGGAAAGGAGGAACTTCTATATGGAATCGTAAATTTGAAGATGAATTTAAGGAAGAACTAAAGCATAATGCCAGAGGTCTTGTTTCCATGGCTAACAATGGTCCTAATACAAATGGCAGTCAATTTTTTATAACTTATGCACCACAATCACACTTGGATCTAAAATATACCTTATTTGGAAAGTAAGTCTCTAACTTACATTTATCATACATACTGTGACTAAACATTTTTGCATTATCTTTTATTCATTATAGAGTGATCGATGGCTTAGAAACTTTGGAGCAATTGGAAAAATTGCCAGTAAACCCTAAGAATTACAAACCACTAGCAGAGATCCGAATTAATAATATAACTATACATGCTAACCCACTAGCAGGATAAGTTTAAATAATGCAGTATTTTTTAATGTCTATCATGTTTATGTAAGTAATTATAAGTTTTTTTGCTGTATGAAATAATGCAATGTGTTTATTCAAATATATATATAATTATTTACTTTACAGATGATACCAAATTGTAAAAAAATAATTTTTACAAGTACTTTACATCACATATATACCTTGCAATCTTTTGTTATGTGGATCAAAGGGACTGTGAAGATACATCTTTGCAGGATATTTCTTCCTCATTACCTCAATCTGGTAAGTACCTGTTTCCAGAAACTCCTTTGTAATATTTTGTCCATTTGGAGCTCTGATGTATCTGTGATGGAGAAAAAAAATAAACGTGTAAATGTGATTTATATCTTTGTTACTTGTTACTCAGTGTACTTACGCTTGTCCAATACTGCTTTTTAAAGTATATCCACGTTCAGCTCTTCTTAAATAACCAACTAATTGATTATTCCTATAAACACTTTCCATACCCCAAAGTGGTATGTCGCTGCATCAAAATTAAATATATATATTTAAAATATTACATTTTGATGAACTGACACTATCTGGAGGAGTGTATCTGGTAACAATGTACTTACTTATGTATGTGTAAATGCACCAGTCTTTTCTTGATACCATTTTTACGAGATTGTTCAACAGAGAGCTTTCCTAAATACTCTCCATTATTACGACAAGTAAATCCTAAACCTGCTTCGATCGGATTGTCAGTCGATCTCAAGTCTGTACTCCAAAGATGATATCCTGATAGATGAATTAACAATTGTAGCACAAGTTAGCGAAACAAAATGATAAAAATTGTCGCAAATTATTTAAAGCAAACATCCTATTACCTTTTTCGCAACTTAGACTGTACAGCGCTCTGTAGCCGGCCAGTTTCATGTCATATTTCTTGCCGCACTCCACTAAGGTTCTGTAAACTTTTTCGCAGGAGCTTCGTGGAATATGCAGTTCGAAGCCGAGTTCACCGACAAAGCTGAGTCTAAACATGTGCACCAATTCGTCGTCTATTCGCATCAATTTCGACGTTGAGAATGGAAACGATTCGTTGGAAAGATCGTTCTCGGTCAACATTCGAAGAACTTGGATGCTACAGCAACGAATAAGAACTTAACGGTATTATCTCAGTATTAACTTTTCTATTGCAACAGTTTGCGCATATATCCGCATTTAAACTTAATCTCGATACCTATTCGGGCCCTGGACTGATAAAACTCCTATTTGCTCCGTGACATCGTGCAAAGATACATTGAAGCCTTTTTCTCTTATTATTTTGTTGATATGTATCCGAGTATGATACGATGACATACCTCCGCTCACTAAACCAACAATAAAGGAGTTAATAATGAAAAATTTGAATAGAGCACGGTAACGATTAAAATTCGTGATGATACCGATGTAGAATCCTTTTCCTTTGAATATAGGATCGACGATACCACCATTGCCAGATTCTAGACCAGTGACCGTGCAATCTCCCTCTACACCTCCGCCGCGATTCAACATGCAGGTGTACACAGTCCTGTTGATCTCTCGATCCACTTGAGACGTAAATATATAATTCGCTGCTTCGCTCGCCTCTGGCCCGCACAAGTAGTATTTTCCAAAGTAGGATATGTTGAACAAAGCGACGTTATTTCTACATGAAAGTGCTTCCTCTCGTATCTGCACACATAGTACACAATAAGTTATCGATTTAATATTCTTATCACTCAGTGCTACGTATATTTTCTGAATATTTTTTCCGCATATTTCCTGTTTCATTTTGGAGAGAGAGACTTACGATATCATCATGCGCCGGGAAGTTGAATGTACGTTCTGCCTTCAATATATCAGCGTATACGTGATTTGTGTGTTTTGGTGTATCGTAGTAACCGTCGTAATCGTACGGTAAAACTGCAGCTGTTTTGTTATCTGGTAAGAACCATCCTGGACGTTCCCATCCCTGCCGTTCCTCCATGACGGCACCTTCTTTGACGAGTAACTACCGTTTGCGCACAAATAATGAATAATAAGATATTGTTAGCGTGTAAAAAAAACAAGAAAACAGTACAAAAGGTAGCTTACGTTGTGGAAAGGATCTGTTTTCAAGTTCCTGCCGCTTAAATGTTCATCATGCGGAAAAGGAATCTCATAATTTCTCGCGTAAGCCTCATGACTGCGCTCATTTATCCAGACGGAATTTTGCCTTTGCTCCGGTATATATCTGTACAGACAGAAAGAATATAAACTGCACAAAAGAAAATTTGGTTGATTTAACCAAATATCTGATAAAATTGGAGTGAACCAGAATTTTATTCAGGATTCTGATTAACCAAACAAGATTTCTGAGTAACCAGAACTCGCAAATGTTCAAGCTGAATCTTGTTAACTTGAATAGAATTCTGACTTGTTCATGTTTCACCAGATATTTGATTAATCTAATTAAATTTTGTTTTCCGTATGTCCAATGTGATAATAACTGATAAAACAAAAAGAAATAGTCGATTATAATTTTACCGTCTGATGTCGTGGTTGAACATATACTTGTCCGGTCGTCCGTTGATCATCCACAAGGCTGCTTGCTCTCCGCAACCACCACCGAACATCATCCCGGCGCTGTTGTATCCGCAGGAGTAATAGAAACCTGTGCAGCGTGGGTCTTCACCTTTTGGACATTTGGTTGCATGTTAGTGATAATAATGCATGCCTATGTTGCGTGTACGCATCGATTGTAAGTTGAAGTTGCTCAAATGTTTTACCCATAATAGGTCTATGGTCGGGAGTAAAACTTTCTGGACCGCACACCGTCGTTCTTATTCCGGCAGTCGCCAAAGCGGGTATGAGTTTGTTCATCGATTCCACGTGTGTGTTGAATACATCCCAATTCAACTCGTACAAACTGAAGGAGAAATCTTCCGGTGCCTTTGTAAAACACACGTATCATTTGGGTTATCATTAGATACAGGATTCACTTGGCAAACGCTTGTTTCCGTGACAGCAATTGAATTTACTCTTATGCTGTTAAATGCGTACACGCGACTTACAGATTCCAACACGATAGGATTCGGTTCGTATCCTCCGATACACATATTCCCGCCTTGCACGCGGAAGTAAAGACTCAAATCAGGATCTCGGAGGCACGGTAATCCCTGCACGTTCATCGGCTCGGTGACGATATACGCATGTTTCATTGGTATCAACGGAATATCCAGTCCCACCATTCGCGCTAGATTTCCAGACCACGCTCCCGCGGCATTTAATATGACCTTACTCTTTATAACGCCATATGGTGTCTCCACTCCGCGAACGCTCTTGTGACCATCGGTCTCCTCTGTGAGAATTTTCGTCACTGGACAATCCTCAATGATCTTAAAGAATTCAATCAGATCAGCTTTTCCTAAGCAACTACCTACCGTGATCAACGGTAGAAGTTCACTTTAGTTTTAGCCAAATGACTTTTGTATTTATTGTACAATATTTTCATAGTTATGTATTATCAATTATACGTTATCAAAGACTTATCGATGTGATATTCGATTTTATAAATATTCCTCAAACAAATTAAAGTAATCATATTTGTCTGAAGCAATGCAGAGTGAGAAAATAATGGGTAGTGGTACTTTGCAGCCGTTTCTTTCTGCAGATTTGGACAACGCGTTCACTAGCATGGCGGGGTCTATGGTACCATCCGATGGACAGTGCACCGCAGCCAGAAATGCCTTGTCATCCACTAGGGGAAACTTCTTCTTTGCTTCAGCTGAATCAACCATGTACGCATTGATTCCGGAATTCTTACAGCTAGTGACTAATCTCTCGTACTCGGCTACTCGTTCCTTTGAATTGCAAGGAATATTGACACCATTTGTAAAGCGAATAAAGATGTGCGTGAGCGTGGAAGACGCACGAAAACACATGCGTACTCACCGGGGAATGAGCGATATAGATTCCACCGTTGTTTATCCATCCCGGATTCACACCCGTTTCTTCTTGCAATGACGCGTAAAGTAATCGCGAGACTTTCAGTAACTCCATTTCCACATCGCATACTCCGCGTAAACTCCACACGAGACCCGCTGTGTGCCATGTTGTGCCGGATATCAGCTTAGATTTGTCCAAGAGCACTGCATTCACACCACGTTTGCCTAATTGATAAAGTGCGTTGCAGCCAGCACTGCCACCACCTATCATAAGAATATTATTGTTAGTCGCATATATATAATAACATTTACATAAATTCACTTATATAAATATTAATCAAAGTTAACGCGTGTTTCTGTCTGTAGAAAAACTAGAAACTAGTCTTACTCTTTAACTTCAACTTATGTTCATAGAAACAGCATATAGATCCTATCTTCTTTTAATTACCTATTATAACAATATCCGCACTACTAGGCACTTCGATATGCTTCGTCTCATTCGTTTTAGATGTTTTCGTGGTGAACGCTCTGCCATTCTTAAAACTCCACTTGGACAACTGAAAGTCGATAAATCAATCTGTGATTCTGCTATCCGTTTATCTTCCTACAAAACTTCAGGTAGAACCGTCTGGTATTTCAGGATACGATATATACACACCTTATTTGTCGCTATACGAAACATTTTGCTATTTGTTTCAAGAGTTCAACTTTCGTACGACCTCAGTATTAACGCAAGTTCAAGCTGTAAACGTCTAGCACATAGAGAATCACGCGTTATCACGCCACTTTCCTGCTAGTTACGACTTGTCATTACAACTATACTGTTTCCAGCGCGTACATTATCATGAAACTTGCATCGGCACATTTCTTAGCGATTACTTCTGTTTCACCCGCGATATCAGTCGCACTGCGAGCTCAGTCGTGAAAAAGCGGTTTCCACGCGGTCCGTAGAATAGAAAGATTACGAGCTACGTCAATAGCAAAGCAATTACTCAACGATATTTGTGAACATATTGCCCAACACACATCACGAATGTAGAATAAAAAAAGAGAATCTAGAGAGCAATTTAAACGGAGGTACAGTTGCTCAAGCATGTTGAATCTCCGCTTATCGGCGTTATTTTTTATCCGTTATCGCTTAATGAGTGTGTTGCACTCTTGTTATGCTTTGTTATGTGTTAAAAATATCTAATTTTTGTCATGTACAGCGATAAATAGGGCTGAAAGAACAATAGTTTCTTCGTAAAATCATTATCCACTAATGTTCACCAAGATGAAAAGAATTGTACGTAATTGCTGTTACGCCTATGTTTTATACGTGATACTAATCTTCTATCAAAACAGACGCTAGTCCGGGATCGGCTAAAGTCAGGATAAAAAGTATAGATACAAATGCAAATGAGAGAAATTCAAGAAGATAAAATATTTCATGTAAAATTATAAATCAATTTAAAATTGCAATTGCGAAATGCATGTACGAAACACTGATCGAGTGTGTGGCAATTCATTATCATAAAATAAATGTACAAAAGAAGCAACTGATAATATTGCAATACTTATTATTTATAACGTTGCTTGAGAAAACCAATAGCAGTACCGCAAATTTTCGACATTTTTTTTTAATATATGTACTTTGAAGAAGGTTAAATTATTTTTTTAAGTAACAGTTCTAAAGTATGAAAATATGAAACTGATGAAAAATTTCAAAATTAATTCTTCGCTTCGATCAGTGGTCGATTTTATCAATCGAGATGAATCTATTTGACTTATTTATTCACTTCTCGTTATTACTGTCTACTATACAGTATATACTGGTCACGTGCTACAAAAGCAGTACATACATTTAAGTATATGCACAATGTGATGAGTACGTGTGTAAGAAAAATAGGATCTTCTTCGTAGAGAACCCGTGAACACATCCGTAAAGAAGTCAACTAAATGCCACTTCAAACACAAATAACCGTTTCGATTAGCGAGTGAGAGTCTTACTTCAAAATAGAGCTCGGAAACGTCTCGCTTCAGTAGCGAGCACATCCGAGTAATCGTCCGGCTATTTGTTTCTTATCAGGAATCGATTTATCGTAGGTATCCGTGTCATACGGAAATTCCGTAAACTACAAAGAAATCTTAATCCAGGAAAACTACCGCGGAATTAAAAACATTTACCTGCACTATACTTGTATACGCAAGTATCCGTGCGTAATTATGTGCCGTACGACGCGATTATCGACGCGTTACGAACGCTTTATACGATACACGTATATGAGATCATTTGCTTTCCTTTCCAAGCTCCAATTTAAAGCGACGTGTGCTCTTCGCTCGCTAAGCTATCTGTATCGTCGGTGTCCGAATTAGTTGCCGCTTGTACCCGAGCGTATTCGTCTGTGTCGATACTTTTACAAAAATGAATCGCGTATTTCAGCTTTTGCCGAAGAATGGTTTTGCATGAATATCTCGGCATTTTCAGAAGGAAAAAGCAGGTGTAGCTTTCAGGAAGAAACTGGTCCGGTGGGTTGTACTTTTCCATTACCTAAAGAGAAACGAAAGAAGTCAATGAGATCACACTGCACCGCATCTTACATTTCTTGTAAAAAAAAAGATACGAATGACCGCTTTCTTACTTGTAAAACAAAGTCTCTGCCTCTAAAATCGGCGATTGTGCGCGGTAAACGCGTTCTACCCCAAACAAAACGAAGGAAAAGCGATCGCTCTTGATTAGAGAACTCCTCCATGACGTCCCAGAACCATTGAATAAGCGGTGCACTTGGTTCAATACCTGTAAGAATATTTTCTTTTTACTATAAGTATTTTATAGCAGAGATTATGTATAAAGTAGCTGATTGTATAGTACGAAAATTTTGCAAAATCGATACGCTGTATGTTTGATATTTCCACTTATTATGTCATAAGTACAGAGAAGAATATTTTGATAATGTGAATATCTAAAAATGAGCATATACCTTTGTATGTTGCAACAGACTTCAATAAATTAATTTGTATATCTGGACTACCGCAAACCATTGTTTCAAGTTCAGGACCGCTAAACAATGCCAGGAGAGGCACAGGAACAACTTTCGATAAACCTTCTCGTACCGCTGCTACTTGAGTGTTGAATTCGCGTAATCTATAATCTAACGCCAACTTTACATATTCGTGTCTATTTTCTGGTGTTATCTTAAGGTATCTGAAAGCTCAAGGAATAGTTAGAATTTGCTTTTCATAATATACATAATTATATTACCGAATTATCAATTGCAGTACCTGTTAGACAATACCACGTCGTGCCCGGATGCAGACGGTGTGGAAAATGGCATTTCTAACGTCTGAAAAACCTTCTCATCCGGGTCCATATCTCTGATACAAAGTAAGCCAGGAACATAGTCTCTGTCGATCTCTGTCAAGTCTGAGGGTGTCAGAGGCATACCGGCGAGTTGCTTCCAAACCGGCTCAGCTAGATTTAGGCTCAACGGGCTGCCTGTTCTTATGGCGATGCCCATCAAGATGCCTAAGAATTGAAACATAGTCATGTGCAACTGCGACTCGGAGAAGGAATTTAATAAGAAGCAATCTCGATTTGTGCCGTTGTCGTCGCGACCATTTGGCGTAGGCATAAGTAACGGCAAGGAACCATTCTGCAACTCGTCGCACATCTCCGCTATGCTCTCGCTGTAACCACCGCCACAATCATCGACGCTTTCTCCTAAAATAATAAGGATATCTTGTCATTTTTTCCATTTAGAAGGTACTCGCGATCATGCAAACGGAATACGTACCGACAAACTTCACTTTCCATACTCTATGAGGTAGAAACAGTACGTCTTGCGTTAGGAGAGACATTTTGGACACCATTTGACCGAAAACCGACTTGATACCGTCCGGTCCAGCGTATCCGCCCTTACCTCTCGCCTTCTTCACCTGTATCCTGTTCAGTTCGATCACAGGCCCGTGTTGACGGTCTCTTACCATCGTGGCTTGCACGACTTTGCGGAATGTCGCCTCTTTTATAGTATACACCAACATAGGACCCAGTTTGTCCAATCCGATGTGCCCGGTAGTCGGGAACATCGCCAAGGCGGGGCACAGAAGCTCAGCGAAATGGTGCAACAATACCAGTCTATTGCGTAGCACGGAGAATGGTATCTCTTTCACTAGATCGTATTCCATAGGTGCAGTCGCTGGCATTTTGCTTTGCGTGGCTTTCGCCGTGCTCCAGGCTAATGTATGCGCACTACCACACGCGACCCTCGTAATCTTCTTAGCTTGCAATGCGTGTACCAATCGTGGCCTCTGTAGAGCGCTCGTGGTACCATCGCCGAGTTGTCCCTCGTCATTGTCACCCCAAGTGAAAACTTCTCCTTTGTCGGAACAAGCGACGCAGTGCAACGAACCCGTCGCTATCGAAATAATCTTCTTCCCTTGCAATGCAGCTACCTTGCGTGGTCTTCGTACATGATCATCCGTACCATGACCCAAACGATGATAATCTCCTTTACCCCTGCACGCATATAATATATTAAGAATGTGAAAATATTAACTTATTAATTAAAAGAAAAGAAAAAAAAAATATATATATATATATATATATATATTTTTTTTACATTTTATTTTTCTTACAATGTATAGTATTTATTTTTACTTACGTCACATATAATTTCTAATGAGTTATATATATATATATATATATATATATATATATATATAACTCATTAGAAATTATATGTGACGTGTGTAAAAATAAATACTATACATTATAAGAAAAATAAAATGTAAAATACGAAGTATTATAACAAAAAATATTGAAAAAATATAAAAATAATAAAATATAAATAAAATAAAAATATCAATACTGTGTATTGCTATTACCAGGTGTACACTGCTCCAGATCTTGTTAAGGCAACGGAGAACTGGCTGCCACACTCGACTTTAATTACACCAAGTCCAGCTAACGAATCTATCTTCAGAGGGACTTTGCATCCATCGCTACCGCCTCTACCTAACTTTCCGTAGTCACCGTCACCCCAACTCCATACGTTATCGTCATCGGTCACACAGAGTGTTTGCGCGTCGCCGCTTCCGCAGGCCATGTCGATCACCTTGTAATCTTGCAAAGCTTCCACTACCTTTGGTCGTAATTGATCGTCGCTATCGCCGTGGCCGAGACGCCCGTACCGTCCTGCAATCGATTGTTACTTCTCATCGCAATGTATGATATCCGTATCTTCGATAATTTCATGTAAAATCAAGCACTACGTTGTACATTTAGTAGAGAAAATTGCTTTGTATCCGTTGTAAAATTCCCAAATCTGATTGATGCTTTTAATCTTGGCTGGATCTAAAAGCATGTACCATTTTTATAAGTTGCAAAGCAGTTTTCTCTGCAATAATTATCTAAATCGCCGGAAAAACAAAAGAATTCACTGTTCTGTTTAATTTAGTCGTACCTTTGCCCCAGGTATACAACCAACCGGCATTTGTAACAGCGGCGCTATGGTGACCACCGCAAGCTATGTCCACGATCTCAATACCGAGCAAATCCTCGATCAATTTCGGCCGATCGTACGACAGTCTATTACCGTGTCCTAGCTTGCCATCATCACCTTCGCCCCACGAATATACGTGACCCTCTGAACTCAAGGCAAGACAATGCTTCCCACCTGAATTCACGGCTACTTTTTTTATAAACACGTGTTGTATCGATTCCAACAATGTCGGGACCATGACGGAATCTGTTCCTCCGATTCCGAGACGACCCGCAGCACCATAACCTACGACAAAACCATGTTGAAAATTCACCTGTATCTGATGATGATGTTTGCTAGAATAATTTACAGATAGAGCCCACTTAGCACAGCAAATTCTTCGAAGCACGTAAAGTAAGACTGCGATTGATTTATAAGGCGATTTTCGAAGGCTTACTTTCTTTCTATTGCATCTTCCATTCACTCGTCGAGCGTGCGATTAGCAATCAGTCTCAAGATCGTCAACCTCCATAAGATTTGCAAAACTCTCTCTAATTTGTGAAACTAGTTTTCTATGCGTGTTATTTCTATATAATATTTTATATATATATATGTGTGTGTTGTGTGTGTGTTTTTACCCGCTTTACTAATACGTTTAATAATGGACGCTGTTCGTCCATGACTATTATAATTACAATGATAAAAACTAGTTCAATAATAACTTATTATAAATTAGGGAGAAACTTGCACTGTTTTGAAGCTGAGCGCAGCGACAGTCCATCGTGCGCTTCATGGCTGAGCTGGAGAGGCAATAAGAAGAAAGAAGGCGTAACATTCGAAAATCGCTTCATGTAAATAATTTTGAGCAACGGATCTACGTTGACAGCTTTTCCGTCTTACCCGTAGAATAGACTTTTCCATCAGCAGTCACTGCGAACAGAGTTTGTTCACCTCCAACCAACTGAATAGGCCTAAGCGCTGACAGACTTTCGCATGGTGCCGGTAACTTGATCTTGGCGCCTTCCAAGCCTCCCAGTTGACCTCTGTGATTATGACCCCAGCCGTAAATCGCGCCGGAACCATCCCATGACAGCGTCCAGTCTTCTGGTCTGCGATTGAGCCACTGCAGCAGTTGTTCGTCGTGTCCTTGTTTAAATATATTGTGGTTTTCGTGATCCTTAGTTTCCACGTCTCCGTCCGTCGTCATTTCGTTGAGTTGTTTAGTTACTTCGTAGCAGAACGCTTTCGGCAATGGAGTACGGTCTACCAGGGATTTGGCAACACGCGCGGCGAGGCAGTACCTACGGAACCAGGACCACTTGTGCACCTCGGCGCAGCACTGCATGGTATCCAGCTCGAGATCGCATGCAAGCGCTACGAGAACCTTGAAGAAATCGCTGTGCATAAGTTGCTTGCCACCTCTGACCAAAGGATCCTCATAAGAGTATTGTCTAAGGAGCGCCTGCGGCAACGAGCCGAGCAAAGACGACAATGCAACCTCGGGTTTTATCCCCGGCCCGTTCGTGTAAACCACCTGTAACTTCTTCAACGCCCACATTCTCTGTTGCGCAGACAAAGTACCCAGTTGACTGCACTGAGCCAAAGCGGTCGCTAAGCGGGAGGCGACATTTCTATCAGAATTAATGAGACTGTTATCTATGAGAAGATGTTCCGCTACCGCTATGGTTGGCTGCGACAACACGGCTCGATCGGAGCCAAGTTCGTACGGCGCCAGAGTCGTAAGAACAGGATGCACCGTGAACCGCCAACCCCAGCCATTTACGGATCCGTCCGATGAGAACCGCCACTTTAACTCGTCTCCTTGGATTCTGATGTCCGACGACCATTCGGTCCATTCTCTGCCGGATCGTACGGCTACTACCCGACCGCTTCCGTCCATTATTGTCAACGGGTCGTGCCGCTTCTCCGTGGAGCATTGTCGATCAAATTCTACGCGCAGCGCTTCCGCGCCGGGAATCTTCACGTTACCGGTCAACGTGGTGTCGTCTATGTAGGGATGCGGCGTCTCTTGCACCACGGACTGGGGTGTATTATTGACGCAATTGCTGTTCGCCGCGGTGTCCTCTAACTCGGTCACGCACTGCTCCAACAGCATGCTGCCGATAGTGCAGTTGACTTTACCCAGAGCTATGAGCACCGACGAAATTGTTTCTTTGGCGGACGAGCAGACTCTGTTGGCCACCGCCAATTTCAGTAGATCCACTAATATCCTCGCATCGTCCTCCGTTAAAGTCGACGTGAATTCGTCTAAGCCGGAATAAATGGCGACGCTTTCGCCCACCACCTGCGCGTTGGACGTCAAAGTAGCCGCGATCACACTCATCGCGCCCGTCGACATCTTCGAGGCGCGCGACGATACGCTGGAGCTGGACATGGACGGGAACATCGCTAATGGGAATTCTTCGGACTCGGGAGTCATTCTAGGACTAGTTGGTACATTTACTGCTTCGGCAGCGTTTGCGGGAGCTTCGCCTCCACCTTGCGCGATATCACCGACGTTCTGATAAACTGCGTGCTCAGTGCTCGAGGTCATGACACTTTCCGACGGTGGCACTACGTCCGTTGTCGCCGGTGGTATCGGCGTGTGCTTCGCAGAAGCGCGATCGTTTAAGGTTGAGTGACTCTGCAAGGCCGTCACTATCGCCGTACGTGCCTGCATAATGAGAAGGGCATTTATTACATGCTGTAACGCTTGCTGTTTGGCGACGTTGCTCTCCAACGAGAGTATTATACTGGCAAGTGACGGTCTCGTAGCGACGGTATTGCTAGTCGTGGCAACGGCGCCATTCTGTTCTGCTGCATTGCCCAGACCCAGACACATTTGACCTAAAGGATCTCTCGCTGTCTGGAACGTGACTGGTTCCTGATTGCCGTTGGTAGGTTGATCCACTAACACCCAAGCGATGCTATGACTCGAGCCGCAAGAAACTCTGTTCACTCTCGCGTCTTCCAGCTCATGTACCAGTGATGGTTTCCTGTTGACGATCGTGGTACCGTTCCCTTGTTGTCCGTGATCGTTGTCGCCCCACGCGTATACTTGACCCGTATCGGTCACCGCGAGACAATGTAGCGCTCCGACAGCTACATGAATGATCTTCTTCCCTCGCAAACCCTCGACCAACGTGGGCTTTCTCACGTGATGATCGTTACCGTGACCTAGACGAAAATAATCTCCCTTTCCCCAAGTCCATACCTCACCATACTTCGTCAAGGCGAGAGAGAATTGTGCACCGCATTCCACTTGAACGACTCCCAGGCCGTTTAGCCGATCCACTAACAAGGGTGTATAACAACCGTCGCTGCCACCTCGGCCAAGTTTGCCGAAGTCTCCATCACCCCAGGTGTACACGCAACCGTCAGCCGTCAAGGCCATTGTTTGCGCGTCTCTACTGCCACATGCCACTTGAATTACTCTTTGTCCGCTCAATACTTGCACTAGCTTCGGCTTCATCTGCGTCGCGGTGTCACCGTGGCCCAATCTACCGTATTCACCCAAGCCCCAGGTGTAGAGCTCACCGTTACTCGCGATTGCCGCTGAATGACCGGATCCGCATGCGACGTCACGAATCCTCTTTGACTTCAGTGACTCTATCAGTCGCGGTTTATCCAACGTCGTGCAATTCCCATGCCCCAGCTTGCCATCTTCGCCTTCTCCCCACGAGAACACTTTGCCTTCCTGGGTGAGCGCCAATGCGTGTTTCCCGCCTGAATGCACTGCCACCTTTTTGATCACATACTGACTTAGGAAAGGTATCGGTTTCGGCTCACAAACGTTGTTATCATCTCCTAGACCCAATCTGCCATTTGTTCCTTCTCCGCAAGCGTACAGCTTACCTTCTTGACTGACGAGGAAGAGAGTTTTGCTGCCGCCGGCTATATGAATAGGCTTCAACTTCGACAGTACTTCGCTATACACCGGTACTTTAATTTTAGATCCTTTCAAACCTCCCAGCTGGTCTTTGTCGTTCAATCCCCACACGTAGACAGCTGATTGCTGGGGCGGCGTTGCCGCGTCGGTGCCGCGTTGTGCCGTCACTTGCTCTTGCAGAACCTCCCAATCTGACGCGAGAAAAGATACCGAGGTTGTCAGTTGATTCTCGAACATCCTTTTGTGTCCAACGATACGCAGACCGTGTATTTTACAATCTATGCCGCCGTTTCTACATTGTTTGATCGCTATCTCGACGCACGGGTAATACTCCTTCATGTCCTGCAATAGCGTGACGCTCGTATCCGAGTGACGCACGCTTATCGTGGTCAACTCCACCAAGCTGACGAAGTTATCACCTGCACTGACAGTCATAACGGAGGGCATATAACTACTATCCTGCGGATTCACGATGATCTTCAGGGAGTGTATCAGGATCCCGGGCAATATTTCTAAACGAATCCAATGTTTACCTTGCGAACCGCAACTTTGCCAATATTTGCCAGATCCATCTACCAATCGCGTCGCCCAGTTCTCTCGCGAGGATACGCTCAGAGTTCTGATGCATTTGGACCAATCTTCGATCAGAGACGGCTCTGTCAGATCTTGCCTATGGTACCTTCCCGGCTTGCCAGCATAGACCGCCGCGGAACCGGGCTCTGCGATCCTGTTGAAGCCGTGTCGATGCGATCGCTTCGTGTAGAAACAATTCTCGCACAAGTTATAGTTGTCGCAATACTTGCATTTGAATCTGGGTCCGGAGATCGGCGACAAACAGCACGAATTGCAGATGACAGAGTGATGACAGGACGGTACTTTCTCCATCTCTGCGACGCAGCCGGTCCACGCTACCTGCTGTGGGAAGTCCACGTACACTTCTTTGCCGTTATTAATGATTTCCGTGATAATGCCGACACTGTGATGATTCACGGAGCCCCACTTATACTTCGGCACAGCCACCGACGCCTTCACGCGTACCTTGTCGCCAACTTTCAATGTAGGTGGTCCCGGTAAGGACGGCGGATGACCTAGCAACTCTATGTGAATGAAACGCACCCAGTACATGCTGCCCCTGCGTTGCCATGCGACTTGCGCATTGAGATCATGCAGACCTTCCGGGTCAATCTTTACCACTTGGCCAACGTCCCCGTATTCCACCTCCTCGTAGCTCTTGCAGCATCGCACCAACATGCCTGGCACTACGTTGTCGCGCACGTAGATCGCGTATTCGTCCACCGACAAGAAGTCTGAGCGTTTCATGTACGTTGGCGGTGGTGCGCCGCCTATGGAGGCAGTTTCTTGTGCCGACGGTGAGTCGTCCATGTCTTCGCTGATCGAGTCGTCGATGTCCGTCAATCCTTCCGGACTGGACAAGGTCTCCGTGTCACTGAGAACGGTATCCGGATTCTCCAACAACCAGCCTACCACGCTTTCGGCCGTCACACTACCTTGCTCGCCGACGCTGAGACTTTTGATCGCCACTTCGACGCTCTTCTTATGGAAACCCATCTCGACTAGCTGAGCTACCAGGGGACTTACCGGTGCCGCTGTGGAACTTCTTCTCGTAACCACGTCTTGCAATCTCTTGCAGTGTCTCTTTTGACTCGACGTCAACGAGATCAACGAGCATTCGGATATAGGCGTAGTCGGATCCGAAGCCATCGCAGTGCGTTGAATGGGTGTGTGTCTCAATTCAGACGCCAAGTACTGGGAGACCGCTAAAGCGGCCTCTTCGATTTCTCTACGTTTGAATATCGGTTTCAGCGGTTGCGGTTTCGTCGCGCGCAACAGCATCTCTTGCAGAAGCGTACATTTATGACGGTCGTCATCGTTGACGTCGTTGTTCAACGGACATTTGAAGATCCTCCGCAATTTCGACTGATAGGCGAGCATAGCTTTACCAGCGTTCAAGGCCGCGAGCTGCTGCTGTTGAGTACGCAATATCGAAGAGTTAACGACGCCAGCGATCATAGGCATTCCGCCAGGCCGTTTGTCGATGCCGGAAGTAGTACCTAAAAGTAAAGTGGCCCAAGTGGATATCAGCTGCTCCGTCAAGGCCATTCTGTCTAGTTGGAATTTCTCAGTGATACGTTTCACCGCATAAAACGGAACTATCTTCCGCACTCTGCCGTTGTCCCTCAACTGTATAACCAGTTTCGAACGTTTCGTGAATTTGCAGACTATAGCCAACTCGTTCTCATAATTCACCAAACCTCCGATTCTAATTCTGCTGTCTAAACCACCGATGACTACGAGAGTCGCCATCACTGTCTTCTGGATATTCAGACTGTTCTCACCGTCGTTCTCGTTCATCTGGATATGAATCAGCGGACCGTCGCTCAGCAGTTCTGCTGTCAAGGATAATTTCGAGGTGAGGAATCGATTGATGATCGTGTTCCAGCCAGGCAGACCGTGTAAAAGTCTAATGAGCCATATTAACTCTTCCGCCACGGTGGAACTGTACGAGGCGGTCAGCGACATGCGGCATTTGTTTGAGTGAAGTTCAGCGCCAGGAGCGATGTCGCAAGCGAGCGCCACTTGACCTAGGATCTCAAAAGTTCTTTCCAACAACTGCCTCATGTCGTTCAGATCTCTCTCCACCGCCCATGAGGGTAAAACAGCCGCGAGCAGTCTCATCACCATGATCTGCTTCTCAAGACCGGGTTTGGTTTCGTCTAAAACGATGTTCAACAGAAAATCCAGCCATGCTTGCGAACTCAAAGACTTGCACAACTGTTTGGACCTCGCGATCGCTCTCAATAGACCAAAAGTAGCCCAAGTTTCATGATGTTGTCTCGCCAATTGGACAGATGTGTTTGATTCGCCAGTTTTATTCGCGGTGGATATTATACCGTGCAACGTCGATGCCAAAATTTTGATAGAGGTTGTGGGCACTTTGTCCGCTTCTATGCCACACGAAAGTAGAATTATCCGCAACAAAGTTGTCGACGCCGACTTCAGGCAAGTCGTTGGATATAGTTCTTGTCCACGGGAATTGGCGTTTTCAAGATTGTCAGCATCGACCGGAGAATCGCTGTCGATCTCGTCGTTGTCGTCGTCAGGAGGTGTCGGCGGCTCGGCTAATTTCAGATCGTATTTGCCTTCCTTACCCATACGATACGAATTCGTCGCTCCGTTGTCCCACTGCACCCTTATCCAGCCGTCTTCACCGAGCTCGCCGATCACTTTACCTTCGCCAGGCGGTGGACCGTCCTGGTCGCCCCACTTCCAATCGATTCCTCGCACAACTCGCGTGCCGATCTTCATCAGCGCTGCCAACTCCATGCCGCTAAGTTGAACGCTCTGTGGCTTACTCCTCTGTATGGTATCCTCGTAAATCGCCGTGGTCTCAATTTTCACTTTCGACGCATCACCGCCGCCACCCTGCTGTCCTTGGTCTTCGCCAGCTTCGCAGAAGTTCGCCGACGACGGTCCGATTTGCCGCAACAAAGTCAGGATACTCGATAATAGACCTGAGTTGATGAGCAATCCGACCTTATTGGCGCACTGATAATTGGTCAGCATGCCGAGGATAGTTAGCAGGAACCGTGCTCTCGGCAATTTTCGCAGCCACGTGTAAGTTCCTTGATTCAAGCTGCTTTTTCCGCTGATTTTTTGTTTATTCGGTAACTCCGCTTGCACGACGTACGCCCGTAAAGCCTGGATCGCCCATGAAATTACCTCAGCTTCCGCCAGGATGACCTTAGACTTTTGATAAGGAGTTGTCAACTGGATATCGTACAAGCAATGCATGATCCCGTCGCTGAGCGACTTGTTCTCATATGACAGGCCCAACCAGCCGTTCAACATGGAATACTTTACCGACGTGATCAGGTAATCCTTCTTCAGGAGTTCGCGCATCATCGAGATACCCTGTTCCCGTACTCTGGCGCGCTGCATTTGACAGTACATCGCGCGTCTCAACGTCTCGACGTCGCCGCCGATGCCGTTATTCATGACGAAGTTGATGATGTTCGTCGTCAGGCTGTTGTAATCAGCGGTGGCCCACTGCACCGGCTCGTAGCGAATCTTCTCAGTCATCTGCATGATTTTGTTCTTGATATCCAATATGTCCTCCAATTTGGCGGAAGAAGTCGCAGCGGTCAATCCTTCTTTAGAAGAAGTTATGTCTTCATCCGGTTTGTTCTTCGTTTTGGCATTCTGTATCGACGCGTTCAAAATGTCTTCCGGCTTGCTACCGCCACCGCCCGGTGAAGCTTTGTTTTTCCGGATATCCGCGATCACCATATGAACAGCTCTTTTGAATCTGGAATCAGTATGCAACAGCTTGAGATCCTCAAGCCCTTTTACCTCATAACTGGTTGCGGGCCTCACTTCGTACAGGAGAAACTTGCATCTCTCCTGTGCGGGCGCGCAGACCTCCTTGTAGCTTCTGTTCTGCTGCTGTCTGGTCCGCACCAAATTCCACTTGGCTTGATAAATCGCTCGCATTATGTCAGCCAATGGAGCGGTTAATTTCACGCTGTTGGCGACTCTCAGCTCTTCCTCGGCCAGCGTAAGCGCTTGTTGACCTAAACCGAGGTGCTTTATAATCACAGCTAACAAAGCGCGACTAATCTCCTCGACGGGATGATCGACGTAAAAGTCGGCGTGCGAGAATACATTGTCAGTCTTCTGATGCCGGTCGATTATCGTCAAGAACGCACGCACATGACTGTCGTCGGTCTTATGCGCCTCCGCTAGCGCCTGTATAAACGTGACCGTTCGATCATCGTTTTCCTTCTGTTGCTCGTTCTTCGTGTGTATCGGCAGCGGTGGTTCTGTGGGCGAATTAGCGGCGGTCGACGTGTTGCTTCTCGCCTCGTCCTTTTCCTCCTCGTACGGATTTGGCGGTTGCAACACCTGCAAACCACCCCGCAGGAAACTCGCGCTCAGCCACACGCCGGCCTCCTCCTCCGCCGATTGTAGCGCTAAACTCTGCCGCATCCTGTAAGAGTGTAAACCCAGTAAGAATCCCAAGGATCTCTCCGTGTCCAAAAGAGATGAGCAGACATCGGTCATCTCGATTGTGATGCGTGCGTTCTCGTCGGGCTCGGCTTGGGAATAATGACCGACGAAGCAGGAATCCATCATGCCACGAGGTGGTGACAACGGACCGTAAGGCGCACCGGCTTGCGTCGTACTTTCGTCCCGTCCAATGTACCTCTGCAGCATCTCATAAGGAGACCAGGAGCCCTCGTGTTTAATATCTTGTATGTCGTAAACATTGTTGTTCACTACAACCCAGAGACCACCGTCGCGATTGTGATTCTCCAGATCTGCCCAGCGAACCAGCGATGGCTCCTCCTGGGTGGAGATCTTATTGCTGTGTTGTGGCGCGATGATGCCCGGCCACGACAAGTCGTCCGCCTCATTTTTCTCCATCGTTGGTGCTAGCCGGACGAAGTAGTCCAATGCATCCAATATCGGCGTAATCACCTCCATCCAGTTCATGTCAATCAGCAGCATGGGACAGTCCACTTGCAGTAGTATCAAGCATATCACCAGCTCGGACAGCAGCACGTTGATGATGTCGCTCTTCAGTATGCTGGCGACCGAGACGAAGTCCTTGACAGAACGACCGCCTATTTCAGCCGCTAATGGCAACGTTTCGGTCGCATGGTCGCAAATTTGCGCGATATATTTCTTCAGCAGCGACTCCGCGCCCATCATCTCCTGATCGTGCAGATCTTCAGTGCGTGACTTGCGCGCTATGCACTCGTATACCTGCGCGATCAGCAGACGTTGAAAGCGCAGCAGGAGATTCAAGCTGGGCGAGTTGTCGAATCTGCGCAAGTGCTCATTCCGGTCAATCTGCAACTGCGACGAGCCTTGCTGAAGTCTAGACTGAGTGATGCACGTGCCGTTTCGTATGAGCTGCTGTATCAATTGCAGCAACGAGATAGTCGTGATATTTTTGCCGGAATTGAAGCCGTCCTTCATCGCCTGTCTCGTCTCGCTTTTCGCTTTCACGACGTTTGACGTGCCGACATCGATAAGGAAGTCCTTTTCGTCCGGCATGTCGGCGATTTCCGCTTTGATCGCAGCCTTCAGCGCCAGCTCCAAACCACCGTCCGCCATGAGACTGGACACCAATAAGTCGGCCATAAATCGCTGGCCGTTGTTGTTCGCCGAACTGGACTGCTCTACGTTGTTAAGAGTATTCGGCAGAAAGCTGGACAACGTTTTCGCACGCTCGTTCGCCGTCGGCAATAGTATGCTCCAGCCGGTCTGCAGAACTGCTTGCGCCGCTTCCTGTATCGTCGCTAAGATTCCGATCGCACTTGCCAAATTAACACAACGTTGCTTCAGAGAATTCAACAACGTACTGGTAGCGGCAAGTCCGACGGACTTGGCGTCGATATTGTGCGTCAGCATAGTGTGCAACTGCAGACGCAGCAAATTCAACGTAGCTACTGCCAGGCACTCACGGTCCTGCGTGGGCGGTCTGATGCCAGGAAGACCTTCGCAGGACTTAGCCAGAAGCGTGTCGAGCAGCTGAAACGTCTCCTCGCATATGTCCACGACGAAAGCCACTCTGTTGGCACCGCCTGACCACGCTGACATGCACCAGGCGAAACTCTGAGTCGGTCCCGACGCCAAGCCGATGACGTTCTTCGAGGATAGCGTGGGACACAGAGAAGGCTCGGATACGACGGGACCCAACGTGGGATCTATTTGACCGTAGTCATTTCTGCCCCATCCGTAGACGAATTGATCTTCTGTTAGTGCTAATATATGTGTACCACCCACAGACAGGTTCTTGATCTTCTTGTCTCTCAGCGATTCGATCAGTTTAGGATACCTAACGTGCTCCTCGTTACCGTGACCCAAACGATAAGCATCTCCTTTACCCCACGTGTACACTTCTCCGCGAGCAGTCAATGCCGCGGAGAACTGCCCACCGCAGAATACTTTCACTACGTTAATGTCCAGCAGCTTATCGACGATTTTCGGTGTTTTCGAACCATCTGAACCACCACGGCCTAATTTACCATAATCACCATCGCCCCAAGAGAAAACTATGCCGGAAGCGGTGACACACAGAGTCTGAGAGTCACCGCTACCGCAAGCCACGTGCACGACCATGTGACCCTTGAGCGTCGCCACCAAAGTCGGAAAGGTGACGTCGTCGTTGCTACCGTGGCCTAGTCTGCCATAGTTTCCTCTTCCCCAGGTGTACAATTCGCCACTGGCGCTCAATGCCGCCGAATACGTGCTGCCGCATGTTATGAACACGATATTTTTCTCCATAAGCGCCTCGATCAGCTTCGGCTCGTCGTGCGAGACGTCGTCGTTGTGTCCGAGTCTACCGCCGTCTCCGTTTCCCCAGGAATACACGCAACCGTCTTGCGTCAATGCCAAGTAATGTTTGCCATCCGAATGAGACGCGATTATCGTGACAGGCTTGTCGGAGAAGCCATGCACCCTCTGCGGATACTGAGTCTCCGACCCGTAATACATGATGTAAACATTCCCGCTCAAGGATAATATCAGTAACGCTCGCTCGGTGCAGCACAATTGCTTTATCCCCAGTTCAGCGATAGCGTCGCAGTAAAATGGAGCGGACCCGTTTCCGAACTTCACGCCGCCCCAAGCTAATACTTCTTGGTATGTCTGTCCGCCGCCTCCGTTCCTTGGAAATCCGCACTCGGCGCTGACAGGTGGTAAGAGAGGAGCAGCCAGCCTGCTGAGATTGCACATTATAATAACCGCGGCTTTTCTCAAGTCAACAGACACGGCGTCGTCGTCTGGCAATCGTAGGTACTTCAGTAAAACCTCGCAGGGTCCTGGCGTAATGTTCTCGTCGAGATGTCTGCGAGACTTGGTCGCCGGGATTATATTCAGTCGTCGCAACAATGGGACAAGCGGCGCTGTACTCCCGGGCGGCGTCACTCTATTATCTTGATTCTTGTGTTTACTGCTGAGGTGTAACAACAAAACCACAGAGTCCAATAAACTAGAGAGAGTAGCTCTTTGCGCTACTAGTTCCAGTAACAGACAAAGCGCCGTGTGTTGATCCGACAATGGCACAGGACGCCATGACCGTCCGGTAGTTACTTCCCTAAGAACAAATATGACCTCTGTGTTTATCGTATGTGTATTTGGCTACAAATAATTATCAATTGTAAAAGCGACATATACCCGGTAACAACTTGTCTCAAAAATTTGGCTGATCTTTCTACGACCTCTAACCAGATTTGGGAAACGTTACTTTCGTCGAAGAGAGTCGCCTCGGGTAACGATTGTAACGCTTCCAATGATTCAGTCAGCAATTCACTACAGAACTCGACGTCTTCTCCGGATCGCCAGGCTCTCCTCAAGTACGCGAAGGAAAAATTCAATGCGGCGCGTGAACCCACGCGCGCTAATCCTAGGGTCGCCTTTTCGTTAGGTCTTGGCCTGAAATTTACAGAAAAATTTTTATACTAGTGTTTACGCTAACGACACAAGTTTTACATTTTAAATAAAATAGGAAAAAGACAATGTACTCTAAAGAAGCTCGACATACAATTGCATCAATATGACATGCAATGTGCATGACAAAACAAATAATTTAGAAAAGTTGACACATGATATTTGATGGATTTTTGCGACTTATACGTTTTCTGTAATTTCCCGACAGGCTTTGGTAAATTCGAGGTATCCTTGATCTCTTGCGGCTTATGACGAGACAAAGCGGTGAAGTATCTTCGAGCAACTATTAATCGTTGTCTCAAACGTGTTGCGGATAATGTACTATTTGCGACCTCGCAACACAACTTTCGCTGTTCCCTTATCGACAAGTCGATACAGCTTCTCAAGTCAACAAGTGCTAAAAAAGAGAAAAATAAGTATAAACATGTATATAAATTTAAACCTAATACAACATAAATATGTGTGTGACAGGTATTAAGATATTTTTTGTGTGGAAATTCACTTGATGACTCTAGTAAAGCATTTAAAATAAACTAATAATCTGCATATGAATATGAATATGTTTACATGGTGGTGGCCCCCATAGCCACGACTCTATTATCCGCTTGGCAGGTATAGTTTTCTCAACCAATGCTGTTGTTCTTGCCGCTTCCTCTTCATCGAGTTTTTGGCAAGGAATACAATTACAACCATGTTGTGGACCACAGATTCCATCACAGCACAAACAAGATAATACTTTCATACCACAATAATAACGCCCATTATCACCTTAGAGAATATTTATGAAAAAAATTAATATTCATTACAGTAGTCAAGTAAAATAGCAATAAGGCAATAAAGCAATAAATGAGAATATACTAAAAAGTGCAAATTATAAATAAAGTAAATAACAAGTGGAACAAATAGTGCAAATAATAGATAATATTACAAGATAGTTTTCATTCAAAAATTATAAACTAAACATATATTTATTTGTCTAACATCCAGGTATGGTCTGTACATACTCTTCTTTGCTACAATTCCTGCAGAATTGATCAGGCCATCGCTGAAGGAACCAACAATTTCTCCATCCCGTACCATCTCATTCCACAACTCAGCCAATCCATCACGGTAAAGGAATCGTTGTAAGTCAGTCTTCAACCACTTCGTATCCAACCTTATATCTGGTCTAACTGTTATATTTAATTGGCTACTCATTTTATCTATCATGTGTGTATTCCTCCTATGGTTTCCCAGTATACAGCCATTCATCAACGCAGACATAAATAATCAAGCAGATTACACTGAGATATAATTATAAGTAACAGTTATCTTAAGTATAATCGCTTCTTTCTTCCTTCTTTCTATTATCAGACGCCTATTAATCTCTCATCGGATCAATAAATAGAAAACGTTGTTTTGAAATTAAGTATTAATTATTCATTGAGTCGAGTTTTCGGCCGGACGTGATTTTGGTGTGATAAAAGAGAGTGGTTCCTCCTGTGAGCTTCAAGACGGCTGGGTGAATCTCACAGCACAGAATTCGCTCGGAAGGTTAGCAACTGGCACGGAGTACGGCTTCTCACCCGAAAGTTTTCACTCGTTTTGTTTCTTTCGTCCTCTAATTGCTTCTCATCATCTGTGTAAACATCCATCGCCGTTGATCCACCTTGATTAAAATTGAAGAGTTTCTCGAATGTTATGACACTCGAATGTCTCTTTATTTTGACATACACATAACATACGCACACACACCTACACACACGCTGTATACACTTATCACACCTGCCGCAGTCCCAACAGAGATCCGGTACGATCGTCTGTTCGATTACCTACCGATTGCCACTACACTAGTGTCGCCAGTATTCGCACGATAGCGCAGTAATCGAACACGCACGTGCGAACATCATTTGCGATCGTCGTGTCGTGCGTACGTAGTGTGTATGTGTGTGTGTGTGTGCGTGTCGTCTCGATGCAATGACGATCTGTCAAAACCACTGACACGGGCAGTTTGCCATTTTGCCGTAGGTTTAACGCGCCGTAGTGTTCGATCTATCTTTCGAACGACTTCATCGAACGTTCGTTTCATTTTTCGTACTGTTTACACATATACATCCTTGTGCATCTTGTAGATCGTGACCGGTGCATATCGTACACACAGCACGCACGTATTGATTACGGCGCTTTAAACGCGACACTTACACAAACATACTTATGCCATTTACGTAAGCAGTCACCAGCTACTGTCAGGCACGCGACCAATCATATGCACCGATGTCATTAGCGCTTCCGTCAATGGGCGCATTCAGTAGAAAAAGCGCTCAGTGAGCAATCAACGATTATTGGTTCTTGCTATTAGATCCCTAAATCTAGACCAATTACATTGACAAATTACTCAACTGTTGTGCAACTGTTGAGTCTGCTGAATGCAGCCAATGGACACGTTCAACGGAAAAAGCGCTCAGTGAGCAATCAGCGATTATTGGTTCTTACTGTTAGATCCTTAAATCTAGACCAATTACATTGACGAATTGCTCAACTGTTGTGCAACTGTGAGTTCGCTGAACGCACCCAATGGCCTGCTTTACATCGTGTACTTGATACGCGTATTAAATAGTAACTTTCTATTAGATAATCTTAATATTGACAATGCATATCAACGGTAACGCATTCAATCAATACAATACGTTTTCTTGATGAGTATTATATCAGCTTAATGTTGTTTATATATATCGTTGTTTATATATATCGCCGATATTAAGATTATCTAATAGAAAGTTACTATTTAGTACGCGTATCAGGTGCATGTAAACCAGGCCACTGGCTGCGTTCAGCAGACAAAGCTGCTTTGCAACTGTTGTAAAATTCGTGAATCTGACTGCAGTATGTTCTTAATTTTGGTTGAATCCAAGAGCATGTACTAATCAGATTCACGAATTTTACAACAGTTGCAAAGCAGCTTTCTCTGCTGAACGCAACCAATGACGTGTGTTGAGAATGTTGGGTTTAAATATCCTAACGCTGCCATTGGTCGATATTTGATTTGGGTCCTTATTCTTGAAATAGTTGCCTATATGTAAATTTTACTGCGCAGGTTTAATCATACCATAAAATAGCTGCGCAGTAAAACTTACATATACGCAACTATTTCAAGAATAAAAGCCCAGGGTCTCTTTATTCTTAACAATTTTGCGTATACGTAATTTTAATTGCGCAACTATTTTATAGTAATGGCTCCTGCAGACAGGACGCGGTAATGCTTGCTGCGCGGCGGAAGTTTGCGCGACAGCCAATCAATATGCTGCTTTCTGTAATAACCTTCTAGCTCTTACGGAAAAACAACATATTGATTGGCTGTCGCGTGGACTTCCGCTGTGCGGCAAGCATTACCGCGTCCTGTGTGCAGGAACCATAAACCTGGGTCATTCGAGTACTTTTCTTCTCTTTTATCTCACTCTTGTATCTCGCTCACTCCAACGTAACGGGTACACTTGGATAACGTTTCCGAACGCAGCCATAGTGTTTCTAGTAATAGAGTGTACCCGGATGAGGAATCTGAACGCAGCCAAACAGAGGATGCGTTCCTTTATTTACTGCGAGTACTGATACTATGATGTTATGAAAGTATACTTCTAGTTCTAGCGTTCCGTTTTAACTTCGAACACCGTCGAGGTGCTGCAAAGTGATAAATGGGGACGCACCACCTTACTGCTACTGCTTTACCTCTCCAGCTGCAGTAGCCACAGCAGGAAGTGACATCAAAATTTATGACGTCACAAACTCGTCGAAGTGCTTTCGTAGTGCACTGTAACCTATTTAGGAATGCTGTTAGTAGTACTGACAGTACTTGTAGTAAATAACGGAACGCAGCCAGAGGCTGGCCATTGGGGGGAGTCTCCACGTGATTGGCGCACAGAATAATGGCCCGAAAAATGGCGGCAATATGGAGCTGTGCTCACCAAGCGCGAACGGGCATAAAATATGAATTGAGATATTGTTGCACTCTGCGAATGTATAGTTTATCGCTTACCTAATGATGATAAATAATCATACAACAATATATATGTATATTCTTTAAAATGTATAATGTATGTTCTTGAAAATATTATATATAATCAATAATAATCACACGTTATGTAATATCGAAAGAAATAAAAAAACAATTAAATATTATATATATATTATTCAGGTAATATAATAAATAATTAGTTAAAAAAAATATATATATATTTATATAATATTAGATAATTTTAATAAATAGAGATTACTTGTATTGTTGTTATAAGTTTTATTTATATATATATATATATATATATATATATATATATATATATATATATATATATATATATATATATATATATATGTATATATATATATAAATGTGTGCAAGTGTAATAGTTGTTAATTGTTCATTTTACATTATGTGATGTTAAATTTCGTGATTAAAATGATGAAATATCATGTTACATGTCATTACAATTGATGTTGCAGGGGCCCGATTCGTGACGGTATGCGAATGAGATATGCATGCGAAAATCTATAGTATACGTAACATGAACTATACATTTTCGCATGCGTATCTCATTCGCATACCGTCATGAATCGAGAGAGAGAGAGAGAGAGCCCCAGGGCCAGTCGAACACGCTACATACGCATACTATCAAGAATCGAGCCTCAGATCGATACATACGCACACATTTAATAGATCACGCACTCCCTCACCAGCTCACACAATTTATTGCTGCCATTTTTCGGGCCACTGGCCAGTCTCTGTTTGAGGGTCTCTAGTCAAAGATTGTCAAAGAACATCAAGATAGCCAATAAGTAGCGTTGCCTGTTTATCTTTTTGTAGTAGGTTATGTTTTACATTAAATACCGCAAACTGTCATAGTATTCGTTGTAAATAAAATATAAATTAATTAGCTCGCAGAATCAACGAAAGTTACAAGTCTTGCAAAAGAAATATGTTTAATAGCGTAAAACATTCACTAAAATATAATCCGAGTAAATTTGGTAAGTATTTGGTAACATTAATTCCGCGTTGTATTCAAAAGCTCTCTTTAACAGAAGATATATCATTAATACAATTAGAAATTTATGATCTTGAATTTAATATGTATATTAATTTTATATATAATAATTTTATATATAATAATTTTATATATAATTTTATATATATTAATTTTATATATATTAATTTTATATATATTTATAATATTTTACTTATTTCAATTTAATATTCTATTTTATGTACTTGAAAAGACAATGTTCATCACGTCAATATGTTGCAATTTTAGGTTATCAATTGTTAGCACAGTTTTCAGTGGGAACAACAACTAAGAGCGATCCAACGCCGCAGGAATGTACACGTAAATCCGCTTCACACACTATGTATGGACAACCAACACCGTTGACGCATCCTCACTTGGTGAAACATGGAGAAGTGATACCAGGTGTATCACTCCAGGAACTCAAGAGACGTCGTTCTAAATTAGTAGAAAGTATCGTGCAAGAGAATTGCGCTAAAAATAGGCAGCAAGTCATCGTTATACCTGCATCATCTAAAGTCTATATGTCTGATAGAATACCATATGTCTTTCGACAAAATACAGACTTCTTATATTTTTCTGGATGCCAAGAACCAGACAGCATCCTAGTACTCATATGCAAAGAAGATAAATTCTCATCTGTCTTATTTGTGAGACCAAAAGACCAGCATTCGGAATTATGGGACGGTCCAAGAACTGGTGTTGATATGGCAACTGAGATGTTTGGCACAGATTACGCGCTGCCTGTCACACAATTTGACCAATTCCTCACCTCATTCCTACAGAAGGATGAAAAGTCTATTGTTTGGTACGATCATGCTGATGTTGTCCAACCAGTTTTACATAAGAAACTGTGTCAGTTGATCAAATTGACAGACAATCAAATATTTGCTTCCCCTAAGACCCTGTTTCATCAGGCTCGCTTGATAAAAAGTGCTTGTGAGATTGATTTGATGCGCAAAAGCTGTGAAATAGCTTCTAAAGCTATTCAAAAAACAATTCAGTTTTCAAGACCAGGGATGAGCGAACATCAGTTATTCGCTACTGTAGACTATGAATGTCGTATGCGTGGAGCTGAACATCTGGCGTATCCTCCTGTTGTAGCAGCAGGCAAAAATGCAAACACAATACATTATATTAGTAATAATCAAATTATTCAAAGTGGCGATTTGGTTTTGATGGATGCAGGTACGCATGAACAATGGAGCAAAGACATAGAATCACTACTGCTATGTGCAGTTTGTGTTTCCCAATAAAAATTGCTTTTGTATCTTTGTCTGTATTTTCAGGCTGTGAGTACCATGGTTACTCATCCGACATAACGAGAACGTGGCCGATCAATGGTAAATTTACACCGGAACAGAAAGCTCTCTACGAACTAGTACTCGACGTGCAAAAGGATTTAATAAAGAACCTAAAAAATTTGCCATCGCTAGATAACACATTTCAGCGCATGTGCGCACTCCTAGGAAAGAAGTTGCAAGATATCGGCTTGATACCAAGCAACTTTAGCGAGGACAAAGTATTGGCTGCCGCATATATGTATTGCCCGCATCACGTCAGTCATTATCTGGGAATGGATGTGCATGACAATGGAAAAATACCCAGAAACATACAGATACAACCTGGAATGATAATAACGATAGAACCAGGTATGATTCAAAGTGTGATATCTGCGTTCAGGACAGTTTCTAAATTAATTTACACATATATCTCCATGTCACACCAGGCGTATACGTAAGCCCAAATAATCCTTATGCACCAATACACTTTCACGGGCTGGGTATTCGTATAGAGGACGATATCTTGGTAACAGAGAATGGAGCAGAAGTCTTGACGAAAAATTGCCCGAAAGAGGTAGCTGAGATTGAAGCCTTAGCGAGCCAAAATCAAGGATGTTGATGGCGATAATACGACATACATTAAGACGCAATATATTTTTTATTCAAATGTATATAAAAGAATATATGTAAGTATATATATGTGTGTAAATACGCTAATAATCGTATCGTATATTGTGCAGTAATATGTATCAGTTATATGATACAATCGTATGTAATTCCGAGTACAGTCTAAATTTTTTTTGCTTTTAAACGAGATATCATATGCATACTATAGGATTTTATACTTTACATCTTTTCAAATTTATTTCTTGCGTATAGTATATCGTATTCAATTATTCGCATAGTTCGTATTATTCCATCTATCTACTATCTATTATACTATCTCATACTGGAACTCTGTATGTTATGTATATTTATATACGATCGTATACATGTATAGAGATCTTTTCTCTGATCTTTTCGTATTTTTTCTTCTCGTTGCAGACGCAATACAGCATCTAACCTCAATTTTACGTGGAGTTCCATTATTCGAAAATTTGTTCAAATGGAAACAGATGAATATTACATACTTGGAACCAATATAGTATCACCAGAATCAGTAACAATAGGGTATATATAAAAAGAGCTAACGTGATCATTGATATGCGATAAAACTCGCTTGTATTGCGATCTATGGCACAATCATATTGATATTCTTAACCGAGTAGGATTGTATATAAATCTGTATATATGTACACAGTCAATATATGTGTGGTCTATAAAGCTGCATTGATTATTACGTAGGAGAATTAAATTGAAAAAAATGATACTAATGACGAATAAACGAATATTCTAATATGTAAAAAAAAAATATTGTATTAATAGACGATAAAGCGGTCCTTTAAAGCAATTATATGTGATAGTACATTATAACGTACTACATAGTTGTACCTTAACGTGTTGCATACACGAAATATATCAAGTTATACATATCATTATATAGATATGATATATCAAGTTAAAGAATTCAAGTGCACGGCATTCGCATGTTAATGTCTGCTCGCTTTAGACTAACGTAGTTCGCAAGTTGTTTTGTCCGTAAACGAGACCATACAATATGATTGTCCAAAGCATGAATTTGCGCTGCAGCGATTGCAGCGGTTTCCGGATGCAAGGCTGTCGTACAGCCAAGTCCTGTAAGTATAAAATTGATTTTAGGTTTCGCGAAAGAGAGATTATATTTATTACGACGGTTTGCGACATTTACCTGAAGGGAGGTCGAGCGATGACCACACGTCCCGTGCAGTACTGTCAGACTTGAAAGGTGGACAATTTATAACGGGCAACGTAGTGTTGCCGGAGAGTACCGGACCCAGGCCATTACTGCGACCGGCTACTGCTATGAGCACCACCTATGGTAAAGAGAAAAATAAGAAAAATTTACGATAAACAGAAATAAATAAGCCTTCTACGGCTATCGGTTCCTTTTTATCGTAATGAGTTTCATGATTGAAACATATACATATATAATCAGGCAACGGACCACTTCGACGGGTCAATGCGGGTTTCGATACAGTTATCCGGTCGAGCTGTGCTCGTTATCGCGAATTATGACCAATATTACAAGCGCCGTTGAGTGTTATACCTTTTCCTTGCAGTTCTCATATTCGGCGATGATATTCAAGGTTTCCTCAGTGCTTTTGTGAGCACTGCAAACTCGGAGTTCCGCTCTTACACCTAATGCCGCAGCGTGTTTCGCAATCTTTCGGCAATGTTCTTCGTCGGATGTTGAGCCCATAAGTATGACAATCAATGGATCGGGTCGTGTGAGGCAATAGTCCAATTCGTTCGCCACCCATTTGAAGTTGATCTTTACCTTTTCCAAATCTTCCGGCTTCACCTCGCGCAGGTCCCTGTATACCTAAAGACAAATATGACAAACGGATTAGATGAGCAACACAACGTTGGACAGAAGCGCCGACAAAATTCTCACCTGCTTGTCCTTCATGGATCTTTTGTCCCCAGCAGGCCAAAGTCTCCAAGAATCGCTGTCGATGATATCAGCAACCAAAATATCACCGTTAGTATCTACACCGAATTCGATCTTCATGTCTATCAGAGCGCAATTACGCGTGGCCCACGCTTTCTCAAGAATTTCAAAAACAACAAGAGCGGTACGTTTCATGATATCCACTTCATCTCTTGTTATCTTTACGCCACCAAATTTGAAACCGGCGGAAATGATTTGTTGATCGGACCACTGCGGATCATGATTAGCATCATCCTTGAAAAACGTCTCCTGCAGAGGCGGGTTGAATGTATATCCTTCTGGGACTCCTATAAAATAATTGTAGATGTATTGAGTATCCTGATTGATAACTCTCTGACCTGTTTGAGGACAATAAAAGTTTATACACAAGTATAGTGATGTAATCAGAAAAGTAAAAACTTGCGATTTACATAGTCAACAGTATAAAATTTATTTAACACTGAAAGGAGTCCAATTGAGAGAGAGAGAGAGAGAGAGAGAGAGAGAGAGAGAGAGAGAGAGAGAGAGAGAGA